TCACTAATTTCTCGAAAGCTAGAGATGCACTGCTATTTTTTAGGTGTAAGTTGAATTTAAATAAAGCCAAAGACTATATCAAAGAATAATATCGGCTATCTTGTATCAGTGTTTTGTGATTTGTAGCGCGTGTTATTATTAAATATCGTCGCTGGTTGTTCGACGTGTGTAGACGATGATGTACGGCCGGGCGTGGTTTTGCGACGCTTACAACGCGGGCGCCGCTATCGGAAAGTCGATAAACGGTGTCAATGTCGTAAGTTACGTGTAACTGCTCGCTCGCAGGTAAGGGGGAGAGTTTAGTGATTTAGGAGTAATTGCGATGCCGGGGCGATGATTCCGCGCGCGCGTGGGAATGCAACAGGGCACCGTGTTCGATAAGCTCCGCGGAACAATAACAATTAAACCGGCTAACTCGTAATGCCAAAATACAATATAAGCACGAACAATGCTGCGCTCCCGCCGAAGAAGGGGGGGAGGGAGGGAGGGCGGGAAAGGACGAGCAGTCGGGTCCGACAATGCCCCGCCGTGCTTTCGTTAGACAAAGGCGAGACTCACGGAAAGCTTCTCCTCGGGTAGAGGAGATCGTAAGTCGAGGAAGAGAGCTTAAGCCGGTCGCGTCTTACTATACCGCCGCGCGCGCGGTCGTTTCAAAGTGCGCGCGAGGAGAGAGATCGTAGAATTTAATTAAAATCTACCCGACCATTCTCTCTCTCTTTCTCTCTTTCTCTTTTTCTCTCTCGAAACTTTTCAGAAAATGTTGCGAGGCCTCGACGCGCGGCTCACCGTGATTTACGAGCGCATTCGCTTTTTCATTATACAATAATTATCAATGCGTGATTATTGATACAATTATTTGACAAGCTAATAACATGACGCGCGCACGCGTATGTGTGTATGTGCAGCGTATCTCTCCCGCGTTGGTTATTAATTAATTATTGCGATGCATTAACTGTATTATGTTGATGACAATCGCGCACTGCCAAAGCCGATTTTCGCCGCTCGAAAGTTTTACCGCGAAATATGCACAAATTACGGGCTTATTTTCATCCGAGCGTGCAAACGCCGACGGTACGGATATAATTTTCTTCATCCGTTTCGCGTATCTCGCCTCTCGGGCTCATCTCCCGGGTCGACACAAGCGCGACACTTCGAATTAAATCGCAAAACGCGCGAGCGACGAATTGGCGGTCGAAACGCAGCCGCGATAAATCTCGAAAGCACGGCGCCACGTACAAAGTGCGTCATCGGCTTTAAACAGCGCGTGCACGCGCGCGCGAGAGAGATACCACGCCACCATCGATGGGACGGTATAAATTTGATATTTTTTTTTATCTACGCGCGTTTCGATATCGCCGTGAGATATTAGCCGAGAATCACGCTGGAAAAACAGGCGGAAGAGTCCGTGCCGTTAATGCCCGTTTATATGATGGGCTTTTATAATTTCATTAAGCGCGGTTTCGATTCGCGCTCTGCTTTGCTCGCGCGGTCTCTTCTATTATTGCTTGAGAAAACACCATCGGTAATGATATCGTCGCAGATGAAGCGTGATTACATTAAGCAAGAATAACTCCGTGTCACGTACCGCGGAAAAATATTTGAGAACCGCGCTCGGGCTACCTTAAGTTTTCCGTGCGTCACACAGGCTACTTACGAATTTACATCCCGTCGTGCGGGCGATGAATGCGCGATGTAGAAATTTGAATATTCCCACTTAATCCTCTTAAGGCCGTAACTAGTTTCGCGTGGTATCGTGATAAACGCGAATACAAGCGTCGCGACAGTTTTCCAAGTGCCGTTTACCTTCCGAGAATTTTTTTTTTTTTCATTTAATAACAAATAAATTGAAACACAGAGTCGCCTGTAAGACGGATGATATCAAGAAAATTAGCATATAAATTGAAATTTTTCACATAATTATCATAGAATTATCGTACAAGTTTATCGCGGATGGATATTTTAAACGGGAACTCAACGCTACGTCGTGCCCGTCAGGTCGGTGGATTAAATTTTCATACTTGAACTCGCGGCTATCACGAACGATTCGTCCAATCCGAAGGCCCTCATTATCGTCGCGTTTGCACGTTCGCTCTCGTCAATGACTAATCCGCACTTCCGTATCGCGATACAAACTCTCGGCAGGTTCGCGGAGGACGAAGGAAAAAGAGAGAAAGAAATCGGGGGAGGGGAGGGGGAGGGATGACGGTCTCTCACCCTTCGCCTTGAGTTTCTCGAGGCACGACTCTCCCCGGGAGCGTATGATTAAACAACTCAGGTGTTTTATGCTCGGCTCGCGGTGATCGCGTGACCCAACGGCCACATCCGTTTCCGCCTTTGCGTACGGTCAACCTCTTCGACCCCTGACCAATGGGTTTGCCTTAAGGGTGCGCGTTACCATCGACCGGCGAAAGAAAGTATACTTTCCGCCGACGGCGTATCTTTAACGTGTAATCGGCCTCGCTCGATAGTCACGGCGGTCGACGACGAGCAACTCCGCGACGAGAGCCGTTAAATTTAACCCCGGCGACTATTCGCTACTTCACGACTGCCACTCCCCCGGACGACGAGTCTGTTTCCGCGTTCGGTAAGGACATCCGGTTTCTGGATCGAGAGGCCAGTGGCTTTCAACTTGTAATAAAAAAAGCTATCCTTTTCTGACGTTTGTGGAAATCGTCATTAGTTTTTATAGTTCAATATACTTTTTATACTTCTCATTGTGTATTCTGTCAATGGGTCTATTAATCCACGGTGATACAAGTGTATACGAGACTTGCGCGTTCCTTCCAGGCAGCGCTCCGACGTGCGCGCTTTCGATGTTTCGGTCTCGTGGCCCGAATCAATTCAGACTAGACAGCCGTAGGGCGCATGAAAGGTCGGGCAAATGTCGGGGAGTGACATTAAATGCCAAAATGCCATCGACCTCGTGAAGTGGCATAAAGAAGCGATCCCGTCCCGTTTGCTATCCTTTTATCAACCTGACATAACTTACTTGATGTCGATGCGGCATTTAATCGACCTACAAAATTCTTAAAGTGTGCTATGCATAAAAACAAATTTATAAAATATCTATACTGAAAGATAGATAAAGTAAAATAGAATCGAGTGAAACAATAATGTTAAATCTAAAAGCCTTTTTGTGTACATATAGTATGTACAAGTCTGAGAGAGAAAAACGAAACACAAAAACAAAAAAGTACAATGAATACATCTATATATTATAAAATATCTATATATCCGTATATTATAAAAAAAAGAAGAGAAATGGTATAAGCGTGAACAATTGAGTTGATTTAACTAAGATAATGAAATGGCTATTAAGGGATACAATATATTTAAAAAGAGAGAAAAAGAGAACGCGCGGGAGTGCAATTATAATCGTTTTTAAATGGAGTTTAATCATTTCGGCGTTTGGAAAGCCAGCTCGCCGTCATTAAATTAAATAATTGCATTGTGTCCTTTTAAAAAAATATACATAAAAACGGAAACTTTACGCGTTTTATTCCTCTTGGTTATATATACGAGCATTTTATGAATTTAATTTGAATAAATAAAATATTAATATGTCGACATCTAAAAAGATTATTCTGGCTCTCCCGCCCCCAGAGTTAATCAACACATACGTAAAACGGACGCTTTTGGTAACTAGCCGAGCCAAAGGGTTGTTAGCGCCGAATGGTTCAACTGTTTTGGACAACCAAAGACACGGAGGTATAATTAATTCGGCCATTCGGCTTTATCGCCGGCGCTATTATGCTCGGACGTATCTCTCGCCGCGAATATTCGGTCTGGCTCACCCTCCCTCCCGGATCCGTGAGTTTTCCGAGAAATTAGTCGGCATGATTTGCATCTGACGTGCACCTCGAGGCACCCACACGTCGCTCGCATAGTTCGCAACTCTGACTTTCCTAACCCCCCTCCCCGTTTCTCTCTCGCTCTCTCACGTCTTTCTTCCCTCTCCTCGTGAATGTCTCCGAATGCCTCCGCATCCGCGTCAATTATGCTCGTCAAGAGAGGAAACGTCGAGAGGATTCTTCTCTCTCTATGGCATTGATCCTCCCCGAAAGTCTCGAGGTCTTGAGTTAGGGGAGCGAACCAACGTTTATACCGACCGTAATGTAGAACGAGGGACGCGTAGTCGCGAAAACTGCGACGGCTATAATTTTACTAAAAACAGTCAATTTATTCGTAGACGCGTGTGATATTAGATATTCGTGTATTTATTTTACAAAGCTTTCCCAATGCTTTCACTCGAACAGCCCCGATAATTGTGACTCTTTGACAGAATTCTACGTTTATGAAGTTCTACGAAAAGAATTTGAAAGAGACGTGACGGGAAGTACACTGCTCGTTGTCTTGTGCGAAGAGATGAAGAGGCTATCCTCTTCGTGGCGTCTCGTAAAAGCGCGACCTTGCGGGCTCTCGAGCCTTCGCCAGCCTTCGCGCAACGATTATCTCCATTCGGCAGATCCGCCGAGGCGTCTCGGCTCGAGCGCGTCCCGGCTTTCGAACGAGAGCCTCGGCTTAACTCGGTTGTTGTGAATAAGTAAGCGAAGTGTTGCGAAGTGCTGCAGAAGTTAGGCAAACCCCCGGGCGCGCGCGCGGCTGGGGTGGCTCGAATTAAATTGTTATACGGATGAGCTGCCACGAGGAATACTCGAGCAAGCGACTTTGCCGTCGCCCGCCGACGTCGGCGCCGCCGGGTGTGAATGTTTAATTACCGGCTTTCATTATTGTTAATAAAATAATAGCGCCGCCGCGCCGCGCCTCGCCGCAGGGAGCCTCGCGGAAGCGAGCATTTTGGGTGCGACGTGAATCGGAACTTTTGTTGTTTCATCGGCGCCAAGTGTCTCCAGGAATTCCGTCGATTTTATCGAGCACGATTAATACGGTTTTAAGCCTTAATAAGCCCACACAGTTTTAATCCCCTCTAAATTTAAATGAAATATTCTCTTCGCGAGGAGGAAAATTGATCGCGTCGTTATTAGCACTTTTTCACGTACCTGTGATTGCACTGTTGACAAGCGAAGCACTCCAAGTGATAAACGTTGGTCCTCGCGCGCATCACCATCTCGAAAGCTGGGATGACCTTGCTGCACGCTGCGCAGTGACCGGTATTTCCGAAGAGTCTGTCAAATCCAAAAGGAAGGGATATGATACTTTATCATTGCTATTCTATATACATATTACACAACACAAGTTTAAGTATTTATATTCGATATAATTCAGCTTTGGCCATAAGCATAAGGCTAAAGTATAAAGCCTCAATTTATTTTTGCAAAAGAGTATTGATAATAATTAAAACTAATGGAGAATTAACGAAATATTAAAATTGTTGTACGTTATTTGTTAACAAAACTGTTTTTAATTTGTTTTTAGTTAGACGTAGAAAATTTAGTTTAATTTCTGAGAGTGCTTTATACGCGTATGACTAAGGCTGTATTTTTTTTATGTTATATTGATATCTGGAATTAAAATTCGCGATATTCTTATACGATTATTGCGATTAAATTCGTCGCCATAAGGCATAAAACATCGGAACTTGGGAAGTCTGATCGCGACGCAAGAAAAGTCGAGTTTGCTCGATGACGAAAGCGACCGGAAAGTTTCGCCTCGTGCGGCGCGATGGAAACCAATAAGCTTACGGGCATCGCGAATATGCCGTCTTCAAATATTGGGCCATTAATAAAGGCCACAATGTTTCGACGGTGCGTGTTCCTCGTGTGCGGACGCGCCACCTGCGCGCATTCCCTCGGGACTCCGTAATCTCAACACGGTTTATTTGCTCTCGCTCGTGTTTATATGGGACGTGGGTGTATTCAATAAGGGAAATTCATCTGTAAAATTCGATTTGTTGTTCCGCCTGCCGCGCCCGCCTCGATTTCCTCTCCCTTCCGCAATAGCGTCTTTCGTCAATCGCTTTGTCAATCTGCCTGTCTGTTTACCTCACTCGTCGAACACAGGATGGCACATCGTGTCGAATACGCGAAAATCTTGCCGAAAAGATTTCTCAGCGAGAAATCGGTCGCACCGATTAAATTATTTGTTCGTTATATTTACCGTAGATAGTCTCTTTTGCAGAGGATGAGATTGGCCTTGGTGTAGAGCGTCGAGCCGACCTCGCCAAGCCTGCAGTCGCAACATCCGCATTTCAAGCAGTCTTCGTGCCAGTACATGTCCAATGCTTTCAGAAGATATCTGTTTAAGAAAAGTTATTATCTGATAGCGTCTAATACAAGAAAATACAAGCGTGATTATTAACTTATAGAATATGTGTCTTTAAATTTATTAAGATTAGATTCATAAGATTTAGATTTTTCTCTTCTCTCCGGATATTTTTTTAATGTGTTTCAATTATGATTGATCTCACATTAACGCAATAATAACATACTAAAATTATGAATTAATACAAAAATTGTAGTTACATGAACTTTAGAAATTGCAGTTTTCTGCAACTGCGCTGAGCGTGCGTTCTCCAGTTTAATTGTAATTGCTCATTTTTATTTCGCTCAGATAACAAATTGCAAATTTTAGACAAAATCGCGGACTTACCGCGGTTCAACTCTCGTTAAGAAAAATGCATTTAACCCAGTTCGTCTGACGACTTCCGGGGTTGGACTGACATTAAGATCGACCGTTGTGCGAACCGTCCCTACGGCTATAGCGTTCTTTCAGGGGGAATAGAATGTGAAAGCACACACGTAGCGTTACGTCACGCAAACGAAGCGGAACACTTACCTCTCCGTAATCGCCTTTCCGCAACCCGCGCATTCCTGTTGAGTGGCCCCGTTCTTGCCCGGTTCGCTCTTGCTCCCATCCATAGTCATTTTATCGCCTGCAACATGATACAGAAATGTCGGCTTAATCGCTTCATCGTAGAAACCACGCGTCGAACGTTCGCGTCTCGTAAAATTTACGCTGAAGACATTTAAATTTTATTCAGAAAACATATTGATGAATGTGCGAAATCTCATCAGAGATTTTGATATATTTATATATATATTTGTATATATCATACATCGGTTTTGCGTGCTTTGATGGTAAAAGTTAATCGTCAATATCACTTATCTATTACAAAAGCTGTTTTTTTTTTTACATTATTATCTCGATTCGGAAGCCGCAGCGATCGCGGAAAGCCGTCGTGGATCGACTTTCGGCTGCAGTCGCCCGGCGTTCAGGAAACGAATGAGTAATCGCGTTCGCGTGCTTTTAACAAGTTTCACCGGCATCTGGCACTAGAATGCCGGCTTGTCTATGAGTAATTAGAGTTACGGCTTGAGAATTTAACGGCGCGGTTAGTGCCATCTGTGTCCACCCCGTTCGGCCCGTTCGGGCGTGTAGCCTTTCTCATCCCTCCGCCGCGGATCCCTCCCGCATCGGAGCGTCTCCCGGTCTCCTACGCGTCTCTTTCTCGCGATGTGGTCAGAGTTTAGAATCGAATTAGTTTGACCCTCCCGCACACACCTCTCTGTTCACTACCGCTTACTGCGCGTTTAAGCGCCACCGGCTCGCCGAGGACAACCCAACGACTCCGGGGTAGCGCAGCCGACCGCTGTCCGTGCTCTGGATAAACATTAGGTATCCCTCTGAAGAGCCACGATGCTCCTTTAAGCGTTTAAGAATAGCATAACCCTCGCACGCGAACGGACCGTACGGAAAAAGAACAGCGTAATAACCCTTCCGTCGTGAATCGATGGGGAAACGTACTAATTTTCCGTTATTTATTTCAGCAAGAACGCTTCCTGGAAAATGCGATTTCTTTAACTGTGAACGTACAGACGACGTTACATAAACAGAGGTTGTTGAACTCGTCTCGGGCCTAATGCGGTTAACGTCGGCGCATATCGACGGGGTCGGCCTTTTTCCCCCGGGCGATGTCCACCGGGTACTACGCCAAGTTCGATCTCAGCCACCCGGTATATTTACGAGCTCATACCCGCGGATGCTATGAGCGAAGTTTGTGCGGTTTCAATATGTCCTTCCCTCCTCCCCCTGCGCCCTTAGCATGGACACAATATTACGCGGGTTAATATCTTCCTTGCGGTCGGGGACTTCGGGGCAAATATTAATACGATGCCTTTGATCCGTTAATTATTAACGGCGACGGGGATGGAAAAATCCGTATCGCCTTGGCGGAACGCGAAAAATTGCCGGGGACAAAAACCAGATGCCGGATGATGGCCCCGTTTTCCGATGCGCTTCTAATTAAACGCCTTTGTGTCGCGGATAAGCGGACGGGACCCGCATACACATACCTATACAGAATGCGTTGCCCCGTGTGTGCGTGTATATGTGCATGTGTACGCTCGCGCGTGTGTGTGCGTGTACGTGTATACGCGCGTTTTTTTGCGCGACACAACGCAGCGGCGGCGGGAAGTTTTCGTCCACGTAACGAGAGACGCCTCCGTGCACACCGAGGCACCTCGGTTACAATCGCATACGCGGGGGCGAGTTAATTAATCGAGTTGAATCGATTACACGCTTTACCTCCGCCCGCGGGTTACCGATAAATTGAATACGTTATAAATAATAGTACGATTGTTATTCGCGGGCGTGCACACACCTACCCGGGGTAATGATTAATGGAATAACTAACTAGCGGGGTAAATTATGCAAACTATTAAATCCGCCCGCATATAAACTTTCCCACATAATAATCGCTAGGCGATATCGATTGGCGCGATATATGTTAAATTTATGTTGCTCTTTTGGCGGACCCCCCGCCAATGTATGTAATTAGATCAGATTGAAAACAGTTTAGGGTTTCTTTCCTTCTTTTTCTTTTTTTTTTGGTAGCACTCGCGATGAGTTTTGTACACGCGTACCTTAGCTTCGCATTTCTATCTCGAAATTATCAACAGAATTTCCGGCGGCGGCTGTGTGTGTCCGCTCGGTCGTCTCGCGCGTCAGACTCTCGAACGGCGAAACGTCGCGTCGCTGTTTCGCGGAACGGAAGTGGCGAGAGTGTTTCCTTTGAAACTCGAAAACCCCCTCCCGCCTCGTACGAACTACGATATACTACAGAAATATTTGGAGTTACGTGCACTGGAATTTCACCGCAGAAATTCCTGCGGACGCCGACCTGGATTCCGCCGACGACCTCGAAAACCTTCGACCGCCAAGCCAGGTCGGCGGCTCAATTTCCACTTTGTATTTAACCGCGATTTTCATCGGTGCGGCGGGCGTGGTTTTGCCCCTCGGGCTCGAAAAGAACAGGAACCCGTCCTTCCCAGCCGTTCTTTCAGCCGATTTCGTATAACCGAGAGGGTTAACTTTAGTCGCGATTTAACTGTTTCTCTTCTGAAATCGCGGAATCGCGCGGTGCACTTTACAGGAAGCGGAATCGCGAACGTGACGAAACGAAGGAAAACTCTCTCCTGCGCCGGAAATTCGCCGGTCAATTCGTCGATTTTTCAGTCGTCGGCACCGCCGACGTTTTTGCGACTAATTACACGGGCCGAGGTTTATTGTCGTCGAGAAGCCAGCGGAGCACGGCGGAAACAGCTCACTCAAACGTTACCGAGGGAGGGTCCATAACGATAGAGAGAGAGAGAGAGAGAGAGAGAGAGAGAGAGAGAGAGACAGAGAGAGAGGAGGTTACCCTTCGAAAGCGGGCTCGCATCGCTGACCGCCGGAACTGTTCATCAGCCACGTGATCGAATCATCCACGGACGCTGATCCTCAAAGCATCGATAATTCGATTAGCCGCTACACGTTCGAGAACCGCTAACCTGTCGACGAGTCTCGATGTACGTATCCTCCTTGACCAAGCCGTTGCCCGCCGCTACCGCTCTCGGTGGTCATTATCATCACGGAAGCGCCATGGGGATTGCCTGATGCCCCCTCAAGCCGATCCGAGAGGATACGTAGGATAAGGAGGACGTAATTCAAAAACCATAGCTTTGACTATTCATTTCGGATTAGCGTCTTCTGGACGATTTATCTCGCGAGATCAGGATCCCTTAAATGAAGGGCAATTCAGGATAATGTAAATTAGACGCGAGTCTCAGTAAAAAGTCTTCTCTATAAAAATATCGTCTAAGAAACTCGTTTGTAAAATCAAGAGTACGTAACAGCTGGGCGGGGGCGATCTGCTTATCGACGCAGCCGAGCAGTCTCGATGCAACTCTCTCAAGGCTCCGCCCCAGCAGCATCTCTGACACTCCCAGCGTGCCACCCCCAGGATCTCTTGAAGAAACAGAAAGTACAGCGCGCGCTGCGCTCCGGTATCTTAATTCAATATCCTTTGTCTTTTCACTTGGCCAATTTTTCGTAATTTACGAGAGCGATACCATCGAGAGACACTCCCATATTCTCATTAAAGAAAAATCAGTGTTTTTTTAGAAAAAAAATCCATAAAAGGAACATTTTTACGGATCTTATTAGTCTGGTTTTTTTTATTTCAAATAACCCGACATAGCTTAATTAAATACATCATCATCGTCCGCGCATCTGTCCTCCCCCTATTTTCTTCTCCGTCCTTCTCCCTCTCCGCGGGAGGGGGTAAATCCCTTACGTCAGGAAGCGCTTACCGAAATTTCCACTCGTCCAGGGGCAACGAGAGCGGCGCGGTCGCGCTTTTGTCTTTAATAATGCTTCTGCAGCGGCGTTATCTCTTACTTTTAGAACGGAGCGAGCGGCCGGGCGCGCGGGCGTCCGGAGAGCCGGTCCATTAATTAGGCGGGCCGCATTAAGCCGAGCATTAATATACTCCGCTGGCTGTTTTGTTTTATCCCGCAGGAAGGACGTAACCTACCCCGGAGGCTGACGGAGGCGGCGGGGGCGGTCGTGCCGGGTCGGCGGAGGGAACACGGGGGGGCAGGGGATGAGGGGAATTATCCCGATGCGGGGGCAACCTGCTAATCCGACCTGCCACGCAACGCCAAGCCGCCGCCTTATCCCAGGGGGCTGTTTAAATTCCGTAAATCGCCCGCGAGAGCGTCTCTCTCGGTGCCGAGGTGCCGACGGTGTGCGTTGCCGACGGTGAACGGCCGGCTGCCGAGAAATTAGGGAGATAAGATTCGAACCGCCCGTTAGTCACGCGCGAAACAAACGGGATGCCATCGGCAGAATTCTTCTCTGCAAGAAAATCCACTGGGAAAACGGTCTGGCGACGAGTGTGTCACGCCGGGATTGAAATTATTAAGTATGTAGTTAATATAATTAACTACATACTTAATATAATTGCCATTTATGTGGTAATTGGCATTGCATTGATTTAGATTGACGTTTTGCTTTGCAAATAATGTCTACAGATTTATTGTGATATAAATTGAAAAGGTAATAATAGAGTAATCGTGGAAACTAGGTACATTTAACATTGGCTATCGATTTATAAGAATAAATCTCAGGAAATCGTTCGTTATAAACAAAAATCGCGTGAATACTTTTCATCGCTTTATCGAGTATCGTTTCGTATATCTTTGCCATTGTCCCCGTCGAATAATATCGGCCTCAGTTTTTGCGCGGAGGGCTATTATACCGTCGTATATTTTTCCAGACGATTACCGAGGAGTGTTTCCACACGTGTGTGTCTGTAACTACTTCAGCGAAGGAGGTTCCCATATCGTCGCCCACTCGAAATCGTCGCTTTCATTGCGCCGCGATAACTTCCGTCGCCGTCGCCGTCGCCGCCGCCTCTCCGTCGGCTCGTTACTTCACATTTAATACGTAGGCGAAAACGGTGCGCGATAACGCGTATACAATACGTTGCGAAATCGGCTTAAGTTTATACTTGGATCGACTCGCGTCGGGCGCGCGAGGAGTAAGAGCTCACCCCCCCACGGTATAACGACGTAATTTAACGTCCGAAAGGAATATTTCCCACGGAATAAA